ACAATGGAGATGTAATAATAGAGATGAAGTTTTAAGTAATTATATAAATAATTATGGGTTAGATAGGAAATTGATCTTCATTACGGTTTCATTTATTAATTCACTGATATTGTTTCATTGCCCATTATTTTTCGTACCTGTTGATTTTCTTCTGTCTCAAGCTTGCACAAGTTTCTCGACAGGTTAAATGTTAATTATAGTCTGGATGTTACATAAAATTAAATATGTTCACGTAAAGGTTGCCACATAAACAAGACAGTCACAGCATAACGTGTTGAAAAATACAGGTACATGTACACATTACAGATTCGCACACGCTTTGGAAACGTCTAAAATGCATTACTAGTTGAATCTGTTACATGTTTAATTACTTTTCTTGTTTAACTTAGCAATAAAGCGAAGGGCAAACTATAATTATGTTCGGTGTCTGTTGCGATGTTTCAATTAGGTCCCTCTCCTCCTAAGTGCACCAACGGTAACCCTGAACCCAGCAAAATCATTGTTATCGAACCGACCCTTTCCAATGGGTTGAATCAAGATCTGGCTCATCTGCCACATGGTTCCAAGCCACTAGAAAAAATCCAATCCAAAGTTGACATATTTTAACTCGACCGATCTGGTAGATTAATTCGTAGCCAAGTTAAAAACTTGTTAATTTTTAAAAAAAATTTAGTTATTCTTCTCATTTATGATTTGAGTTTTGCGCCGATCAACTATTGGATCATGTTTAATAATTATGGTCAAAATCATGCCAATCTCGATGTTAATTTGCTATATTGAATAGTACATAAAAGTTACATAATTCTGATAAGTGGAGGATATTGCCAGTGTAATCAGGAAGAGAGGGGCCGAAATGAAATTTACTAAATAAATAGAGGGCATGGTTGTAGTTCGCCCTAAAGCAAATAATAAAAAACAGTAAGCAATCAAAGCGGGGTAGGCATGATGAATGGTGATTAGTTCAAAGAAATGGGAAATATCTAACAAAGTGAGAAAAGTAAAAAAGAAAGAAAATAAAAACAAAAGGTGGCGGTTTTCTAGGTCGTCACGAATTCGAGGTTTGAAAGGCCGGACAGACCAATAAATAAATTAAATAATAAAATAAAAGAGTTTTTAAATTAAATTTGGAAGTAATAATAAAATAAAAGAGTTTTTAAATTAGATTTGGAAGTGTATTTGTAGTTATCTTTTAAAATATTTTTTATTTTAAAATATATTAAAATAATATTTTTTATTTTTTAAAAATTATTTTTAATATTAGTATATTAAAATAATTTAAAAATATTAATTTTCAATAAAAAATTTTAAATTTTAATTTTTCAAAATATAAAAACAAATAGTTAATGGTTCTCGTTACCTTGTATTTGCAACAAAACCAACTCTTTTTTGTAAATGAATTTAGTACTTCTAGATTGCCTTAAGTTTTGTTTTTAACTATGTCTCAATTGATTGATATAAAATTTGATGTTATCTTAGTGTGGTAGCAATTAAGTCATGTCAATTCAAATTAGTAATGAAGAAAAATTAAATTAGTTAATTAAATTGTATTTATTTACTATTTCAAAATAGAAAACTTGAAAACAAATGAGATATTTCCTTCTGTATTCTTAAAAATACATAAATTCATCCAAAAAATATTTAAAAGACAGATTTATTTTATATTTTTATTTATATATTTTCAATCAAATATATTTATATATTTTTTTGTATTTATTAATATGTCCCGAAACAATGAACCAAATAAAATATTATATATTAAGTAGATGAATTATATTTACAATAAATCTAAATTTCATAGTTTGAATATAAATGTTAACATACACGGAAGGACTGGATTCTACGAATTGAATTTAATTCAAAATAACCGTTTACTATTGAAAACTATAAAGATACCAACACGTACATCCAACTTAATTACATCTTTGTAATTTTATTTAACAATAGATGGATGCACTTTCCATATTTGTATAAATTGAATATAATTAGTATAACGATTCTTTCAAGATCCAGATTAGTACTTATTCCAAACGGAGTTGAGTAAAATTTAAAATTTTCATTTAAAATTATTTTTTTATAATTTTGAATCATTTTAATATGCTAATATAAAAAATAATTTTTTAAAATAAAAAATATTATTTTAATATATTTCCAAGTAAAAAAATACTTTGTAAAACAAATGCTATTACAATAATGTAAATTAAACTTCAATCACACTTTAAATATTTTTATAATATTAAATTTAGGTTTAAATTCAAATACAAATTATGATTTCTAAAATTAAAAAAAATACATGCAAAGAATTGCGTTGATAGTATCTAACTATTTTTTTTTAAAAAAAGAAGAGAAAAATACTTCAATTGAAATCCAAAATAAACTATATGAACTCAATTGTATATGACCATACTTTGAACCCCAACAAGTCAACCAACTTACTAATTTAGGTAACAATGTAAAAGAGTATCTGGCTTCGAAAACTCAAAGGGGTAGTCCTCGTAATTTCAGTAAAAAAAATGTAACATTAGGACGTTATTTCTTAATCTGCAAACGCATAAAATAAATAAAATTCGTCCAAATAAATAAATAGAGAGATAAAAAAAAAGAGAGTAGAGAGATAAGTACTGTTTTATATAAATACTTGGAAAAAAAAACAGAGAATAAATAAATAAAATAAAATAAAATAAAAAAAGAAAGAAACTGGCACTTATGGTATAGGCCACGCATGCTTTCATCTCTCATTCAATGCTTTACCAAACTCTTCTCCTCTCCAAAATTCACAACCCCTTCTCTCTTCCCCCCTTCTCTTATCCTCTTCGCTTCAGGTATACCTCTGCGAGTTTATATACACACACCCACACACCCGTTGTGTCTTCTCCTCTCTCCTCTCTCTTGGTTTTGCTATCAAGTTTTTAAATTTCTGGGTTTTGTTTTGTGTGTCCTTTGCCTTTTGTTTTTAGGTTCAAGAAACAAGAAATGGAATGTGTTGAAGGCGCTTTGAAGACCAGTTTTAGAAAAGAAATGGCCATGAAATTTAGCCCGCAAGTTTTAGACGATTTTTGGGCAGGTAATGTTCCCAACGGCATGTCGTCTGATGACTTCTCTGTTGAAAAACTTTTAGACTTCTCTAATGAAAACGACTTCATTGAAGAAGAGGAGGAGGAGGGGGGAGATAAAGAGAAAGCTTGTGTTTTCTCTGTTTCTGTTTCTCCCAAGCAAGAAGCCCTCGAAGAAGATAAAAACAGTGACAGGAGTCCTGGTTTTGCTGTCAAAGATGATTTTTTTTCTGTTACTACAAGTGAACTTTGTGTGCCGGTTAGTGGCCCCGCTCTCTCTATTCTATCTTTCTTTGAATACTTAATTTGTTGGTTATTTTTCACTGAAAAGGTGCCATTTTTTACAGACGGATGATTTTGCAAGTCTTGAATGGCTGTCACATTTTGTGGAGGATTCCAACTCGGAATACGCCGCACCGTTTCCGACAAATGTTTCTCCGCCGGAGCCCACAAAAGAGAACCCGGTGGAACAGGAGAAGTTGGTTTTGGAAGAGCCCTGTTTTAAGACCCCAGTTCCAGGCAAGGCTAGAAGCAAGAGAACAAGAAATGGTGTAAGAGTTTGGCCACTCGGGTCGCCCTCTTTAACAGAATCATCAAGTTCCTCCTCTTCAACATCCTCTTCAAGCCCTTCAAGCCCTTGGTTAGTTTACTCCAAACCCGGTTTGAGAGTTGAACCGGTTTGGATCGAGAAACCGGTGGCGAAAAAGATGAAAAAACCGGCTGTCGAGGCAGCGGCAAAAGGTTGTGGTTCCAACTCGTCGAGGAGGTGCAGCCATTGTGGGGTTCAAAAGACTCCACAATGGAGAGCCGGTCCAAATGGTTCCAAAACCCTTTGCAATGCTTGCGGGGTTCGATACAAGTCGGGTCGGTTACTACCCGAGTACAGACCGGCTTGCAGCCCAACTTTCTCAAAGGAATTGCACTCGAACCATCATCGGAAAGTGCTTGAAATGCGAAGGAAAAAGGAGGGTTCGGTTCAGACTGAACCAGGTCTGGCTCAACCATTTGTACCCAGTTTTGGGTAGATTAGAATCGTAGTCTAGAGGAAGGCAGGGTATTAGGGAAAAGAGAGGGTAGGAAATTGAACCGGGGGCATTGAACCCGGTTTTTATTTAGGTTCGGTTTATTAGTGTACATTTTTCCTTTCAGGGTGGGTGAGGTAGATAGTATTTGTAACTGAATTAGTGACGACCTTTAATATCGTGCTCTTTGTTTTTACTTCGTACCATTTCCTTTTCACTTCAACCAAAGGTGGCAGCTCTGTTTTTTATTGTTTTATTTTCCTTTGATTTTAAGTTAAGCTCCGGGAGGATAATGTTTGTCTTTTGTTCTTGGAAAAATTTAAATTTTTTTATTTTAAATTAATATTATTTTAAATATTTTTAGATTATTTTGATGAGTTAATATTAAAAATAAAATTTAAAAAATAAAAAAGTTATTATTTTAATGTACTTTTAAATAAAAATTATTAAAAAAAAAAACCATGAATACACTCTCCCACACATTTCTATATCTTAAGATAGAAACAGTCCATCTATTCGAGTTTTCTTTTGAAGGCCATTGCGTGGAGACATGGGAAGACCAGTCTTGCCACATGTTGGACATATTAAATTTTGAGTTGATGAAAAATCTAAAATGCGCATGGAGAGTTTGAGTTGCGGATTAAAAAAATGCTAAAAACAGTCGTTAATAAAAAACAATGATTGGACGAGGATGTGCCATGGATGTCATACATTTTATTATCTTTTTTCTTTTATTTTGCGTTGCCCTATGTGGTGATCCATCATCATTAGACAGCATGGTTTTAAATTCAATTTTGTTGGAGGTGGTTTGGTGGGTCGTGCTTGATCGAGTGGATCCAAATCATTATCGTTTTTCTTGTTTAAAATTTGATTTAATTTTATTTTTTTTCCAACTAACTTGGTTTATCTACTTCTTTCTTTCATTTTCTTAATTGGGTTCTTATTAATTTTTTTTAAAAATAAAATTTTAGATTAAATTAAAGAGTTATAAAAAAATCCCAAGTTTGGTTAGGCAATGCTTGAGAGTTGAGACCTCTATCCTCCAATAAAAACCTATTTTAGTGTTGCTGGTAACTCTCCTCTCGATTCACCCACCTATCCCAGAAAATAAGAACATTGTTGACGTCTAGGTATTTTGTGAGAGAGGAGAGTGTTTCTTCCATAGTAATTATTAAAAAACGAAAAACATCTTAAAGGGTAAAGCATGTAGCGTGAGACTTTCGCAGCTGATATAATCCCTGCCCTTTGTGTTATTTGTCATCTTTGATGGGTACTTTGTTTGTTTTTTTAACGTGGATGTCCGGGTCAGCTTGCGCGCACCACAACTAATCCCACAAACTCTGAAGTTAACGACCATGTAAGCCTCCAGTGGCCATCATATGAGCAACTAAGGACTCAAACCTGAAACCACAGAAGGAACAAACCTCTTAATCCTAAGTTTTTACTACTTGACCACTACCTAAATGATTATGGGTACTTTGTTTTCATATACAGTAAAAATGGATTTTCGATGCTGCTGAATGCTGAAATGGACCACCCTTTGTTTGCATAAAAGAGACATTTGGGCCAAGGCATGAAGGCGGAGGTTGAGCGTTCAAGGTTTGAAATTAGCATCGGGATTGTGGATGAGTGGCGTGCCTTTGGTTATTTCCCTCCATTGGTCTTTAAATCTTTTCCTGTACACAGCTTCAACAGTGATAATCTTGTTTTCCTGCGCCGATTTTTATCCTCAGGTGCCATTTTTGAAGCCTGAACCACTTTGCAAGATGGGCTTCTTAGTTGAATGATTTATCTAATGTAGTGACGGGCATTTTCCCCACATTCATGCCATGGGGCAACCCTGACTTGTTTTTAGTAGGAGCTTCTAAAAATGCATACAACCTGCTTTTAAAAATTAATATAAATTATATTTTAAAATTTTATTTAATAGTTTAAATTATTAGATTGAAATGGTTACTCATCAGTTTAAATTTTATAATTTTTATTTATTTAATAAAAATTAAATAAAAGCTAAAATGAAGGTTTAGATTATTAGATTGAGAGGTTTTTTTGACACCTCTCTCTTATTTCCTTTTTATTGATTCCTCTCTGGGGTAACGAGCTTGATCACTTCCTGAACCGCGCCAGCCTTTGATCTAGACTTTCACACATCTTACGTGATTTAAACAGGACTTATTCATTCAAGCAAGGGCACTAGCAATCTTGGAGCGACTAAGCAACTTTAATTACCTTAATGTTTGAATCATGGATATGGTTTCAACGAGGAAAGAGGCTAGGCTAATAGGATTTGATTTGAGAGAAGAAGGGGAGAGTGTGGGCTTTGGCATTGCAACACTTTCACGAATTCAGCTAGGCAGCAAGCACTGAAGCATTTATTCACCACTGCCATTTTAGCTTACCTTACTTCAAGCACTTACTCCATGCCTTGGGATCAGGCAAGCTCGTTACAATGAATTAATTATCTTAATGGTATTTGTTTTTTTACCTTTTGGATCCATCTTTCCCCTGTACTACACTGCTCAGGGTTTGTATTGAAAGATCCCGAAGCATCTCTTGAGTTCAGTCACAAAATTTTGAAGCAAATGAGCACATCAGTACTGTAATTTCACGTTTAGCGTTGCTTTGAGATATATATCATTTATCCTTGAGATGATATAAATAATAAACGCCAACGAAAATCGATGGGAGATCCCAAATTAATCTAGCTGCTAAGATAAATTAATTAAACCCTCTTTAAGATTCTAAAATTTGGAATTTGATTGAGTCTTGCAAGAACAAATGACAAATCATCATTCATAGTTTTCCACGTCCTTTGATCCATGAAGGCTGTTGCATGTTAAAGTGAAACTCTATGTCCGAACCCCACTTCATTTTTTCTATAAAAAACATGCTCTAAGACCACAAGGATATAATTTAATTTGAAAGCATACTTTAATTAGTTTTCCCTTCATCTGCTCTGCAAGGGAGAATTGCCAATTCTAAACACATTTGCTGTCCCAATTACCTCTTTTCAAAATCTATGCTCCTAATCGTTCAAGTTCTTTCCTTTTTGTCCCACTCATTCGTCGGAGCTCTCAAGTGGCTTCAATAAAAATTGCATTGAAAAACCTGAGTGTTTCACTGTACAATGAATACAGATATCAAGGACAAAGGCATAAAATTCAAGTAAAGGTCAAAAAACAGACACAAGATACGTTTTCTTGTTCAAGAATCGCACTTGAGATGTCACATAACACAGTAAATCTAAATGCTGGTGGCGGATTCGTGATACAAGGTTATCAGTAATTAAGAATTGAAACGTTAGTTACAATGTGCATCCCATATTGTCATATGTCAAATTGCAGTCCCCAGACGTTTCTACAATGCTCCTCTTCCTCCTCCAGTCAAGCCCAAGTCATTTCTAAAATAACAAAGAAAACGAAAGTCTCTCCTTCTTATGCCCAATTTGGCAATATTTTATCTCATATATACCATAAGAATCAATTTTTTTTCTTTCCATGAGGTCAAGCGATTCCCAATTTGGCAATATTTTATCTCATATATGCCACAAGAATCAATTTTTTTCTTTTTTTTCCATGAGGTCAAGCAATACACATAATCAATTGTTCATTGATGAAATTTATACAAGTTAATTTAACATACAAGTTATCAACAACTAACATGAAGTCTAATGAAATGAAAAACTCCTATATGAAGTAACAAGCAGGCGGAAAGTTCCAAGTGCAAGCACCTCACTTGATATTGTTGCGTGGCAGTTACTTGATGGCTATCTCCCACCAGTTCCAACTACTCTCAAACGTCTGTGATGGAGCAACAAGCCAGCAGCATGAAAGTCTCGTAGGAAGGATTTGATTAGATGTTTGAGTTGTGTGGGGTTTTGACACTATTTCGTAGTGGAGTTCGGGCCTCGTGGACTTCGAGGTGCTACATCCTGGATAGACTAGAGAGGGCTTTCTCAACGGACCGTGCATGTGCTCACAAGCTACAGTGCCGTGTTTTCTGCCATTAATAATTATCATGCTCTTAGACACATTATAATGTTTTCAGCTCCACAGATTTTTTTTAAAAAGAAACCATCAAGTAATAGTGATGATGCTGATTTTGATGGTAATAAATGAGAAGTTATTAAAGTTTTTTTCTTGTTAATTTTGTTGAATATCCGTCAGGGAAGGTCAAATTTATTGGCCGGCTCTTTCAGTTGTTTTGAGTGATGCTGCGATTATGATCTTGTGCACTCCACTTGGAAAATCCAAAGAAAAAATGCTTAAAGCTTTTCTAGCCTCATCAGCAACATTATCTACTTAGTAGTAGTGATAGTGATTGTGCCCTCCTCATCCAACCCCTTTGACATGGATGGATGTTTTATCATGTGTCCTTGGCATTAGTTCTCAAACCCTTTATGCTTATATTTTCTACGATGCATGCATACATCCATACATAATTTGAGATAGTCGTTTAGCTTATCTAAATCATAAAAAAGTTAGGGTTCTTGCTGTGCTGATTTTTGAGATTATTTTTAAAACCGTTGTCTCCTGGAGTATTTAATTGAAGGTTGGGTGAGGATACCTTCACTATAGTTATGGTCTGAGATATGTTGGGAGGTAGAAAAAGAAGAGGAAACAAATTACTATATAAAAACCTACAAAGAGTGAATTTTTCACTAGAGCATTAGATAAAGTTGCCTTTGTGCTGGCAGCAATTCAATCTTTTTTAGATGTCTACTAATCATTAAAGGATTGCGAGGGTATGCTCATCTTTTCACTTTTTTAAACAACAAAATAACCAATTTATCTCCGATGTCAAAAAATTTAGAATCATTGACCATGGATATCCTCATATTTTCATTATTTGTTTTGTATGAGTGTAGTTTTTGAAGATAATTTTTTATTTTTATATAATTTTTTTAATGTTTTAAATAGATTAACTTTATTTTTAAAAATAAAAATATTAATTTTAAGATAATATTTTTAATATATATAGCCTTGCATGATTTTTTTTCCTTTTATTTTATTTAATTAGATTGATGTGTGTCTATTTCTATTATCGTTTGCATGAATGGAAAATTAATTTTAATAAATAAATCCAATAAATATAATGGGATAAATATCTCATGTAGTGGGAATATCTTGATAAACATTCATTTTTTAATTTTTTCAGATTTGTTTTTAGTTATCATTATTTATTTACTTTATTTATACATATGATTATCAATTTATTTAATTAAATATTTATATAAGTCTTTTAATTTATACCTAGTTTTTTATGTAAAAAAACTTGTATATATAATTTTTTTTAAATATGATTTATAGCGAAGCAGATGAATTTTTCACCGAATTTATTTCAATGCGATGCCATTTTATTTCATAAATTATGCATATTAAATGGAACATATTAACAAAACAAAAGGGTTTAATCGAGAGATATGGGAAATGTTTGGGTCTTAATTGGTAAAATTTACAAGATTAAGATTTAAACGAGATAGAGGTCAGAGACTAAATCAAGATTTATCTATTTAATGAAGTGAATATAAAATATACTTTACTAATGAATATAAAATTAGTGAATATTGGGAACGATAGTGACCGAATTTGAATATTAAAAAAAAACTAGAGAGCAAAATATACTTTACTAATCTTAATAAAACACAACACTAGTATCATCTAGATGGTCGCTAAGTGGTAAGAACTTGGAATCAAGGGGTTTGCTCCCTCTGTGGTCTCAGGTTCGAGTTCTTAGTTCCTCATATGATGGTCACTGAAGGCTTACATGGTCGTTAACTTCAGGGCTCGTGGGATTAGTCGTGGTGCGCGCAAACTGACCCAGACACCCACATTAATCTAAAAAAAACACAACACTAGTTTAATTAGATTGTTGATTCGATGCTATTCACTTGATTCTAGGCTTTTAAATTATGTTCCACCTCATTTTTTCTCGTTCCCCGTCAATAGTGTTGGACCATTTTGAGTTATGGGCGTGGCCTGCCTACATATAGAAGCTCGCGGCTAGCTAGGACTGAGAAGGGCCAGGTCTTAAAAAAAACACTCATATGGGCTTTTCTTACATTACATAAGATGAAATAGTTTCTCTTGTTGTGCCATGAGATTCTTGCTAAAGGTTCCTGAGGGGAAAAAAATCACCTTATCGTTTTACAAGGAATGCGTAAAGGTTCCTGAGGGGAAAAAAATCACCACACACACACACAAGGAATGCGATCATGGTGTTGAGCAAAATTCATAAAAAGAAAGAAGAAGAGAGAGTGAAGGAGAGAACAACTAGCTCTGTAGCAGTGCTGGCCACGGAGCAGATGGCACTAAGAAATGGAAATCAGTAAGAATATTTTATTAGCCACTCTCACACAAAAGTGTTGCGAACATTCAAGGTATTGGCATACAGTCGACTCGCACAGAATTTAGAATAAAATTCGATAGGGAGGGAGGTAGTGCTAAAGATTATTTCTATGGGATGATAGTATTTGATGTGAGGTTATGTCGATCAAAAGGTAGAAACTGAAATGGGTATTTCAATCTTGTTCCCGCTTAACTAGCAACGTCCTTTTCCCATGCAATGTTGTGCATGATCACCCTTTCATTTAGTTTCAGGGAGGACCAACTGATCTTGCCCCATTTGATTTTCTTGGGTGGCCACCACATCCCCATGGCAAACAATCTCCTTGGTTGCCCCCTCCACCACCTCCTCCTCCTCCTCCCCAACGCCACCGCCTCCTCGACCACCACCACTAGCCTTTCCTCCTTTTCTGTGGTGTGGCTTACCTATTTCTTTTCCATGACCACCTTCTCCTCCATGTCCATTACCACCATTTCCACCGCCACCTCCTCCACCTCCACCTCCACCTCCACCGCCACCGCCTCCTCCTCCTCTTCCTCTCATACCGTTGTTCAAATCACTATTGTGTTCGACTAAAGCATCTTTGTAAGTTGAGTTTGTTCTTCCTTCTCTTATATCATCCTCGACGTTGTGGCTTCCACTTGAATGCACATCACTTTTATTAGTGTTAAAATGAGCCACTACGTTTCTTTCCTTGAAATCATTTAGCCCGAGAACCAACAATGGGCGAAACACCAATGCAAGGAACAACAATGCTCCAAATTCTCTTGCAATCTCCATTAGTTTCCTGCTTCAGCCAGAGGTGAAAACCCACATTCTTATACTCTCTGAAACCCACTGACAGCTAGACACAGTCCCCACATGAACAAACCAGAATCCAACAAACGCATACCCAATTTCATAAGGCTGCAAAAGGAACCCTAAAATTATCAGGGATAGATTACTGCTCTGCCTTGCGGCGCAATTTGTCCCCACCCCTACTCTTTATCCCCTAAAGCACGCTAGAAGGGGGCACTGAGGGCTCGCCCCACGCCGACTACAAGTTTAACATGACAGAACAGCATTTAGTTGTTCTTTACAATATAATTTATAATACCGAGCTGGCAAACTCTGTTAATGCTATTGGATGATTTCAGAGCACTGAGCTTTAAGTGCCCTTTTCGAACATTAAAGAATTTTTGCAGTGACATTTAAAATGAGCACAGGATTTCCCAATTTGCATGGCTGTAGGTGTTGATCAGATTCCACAAGTAGCCGATCGATCATCAAGTGATCATGACCAATCTAAGTAAGAGATTCTGCCTTTTGTTTTAATGAAAAACACCATAGAATTAAGGACCCTAATGAGCTGCTAAGGGTTTTGCCTGTCCTTATCAAAGGTATATGAATCTAAGGTGTTGTAGTTCGTGACGATGATTTTAACTAGTCACTGTATTAGCAGACATGAAGGAAACATGCTGGTCTTTGATTAATCATATAAATGATGGACCTTAGGGCAGACAATAATGTTATTTTCATTATCTTAACAGTACCCAATTTGATCCCTAGCGGGCCTCCCACTTCAAGAATGGCAGGACACCTATGATTTCTGGACCTAATATTTTCTTGGAAACTTAAATATCTTAGAGTGCATATGGGCTAGGGCTTAAAAAGGGCATCCAGGTATGCACGCATTAAAAGAGTAATCACTTTTGCTCCTTTTTTTATGATCACTATTGTCCGAATCGCATTTGTATCAGGATATTGATTAGGGTTTATTCTTTATCAATGCATATAGTCTAATGCAAGTAGGAATTGAACCAAGAGAAGAGGGTGCTTAAGTTCTTAATTAAATTATTAACGAGATTAAATATCCAATTAGTTTGAGTTGTGGGTCAAAAATATCATTGAATATAATATCCACCCACTCTAGGAATCACCTACTTGAAGTCTACCCTAGGGCCTAGCATTTTCAAGAAAAAAAAAGAGAGAGGGTGGCCCAGAGTAGTGCCCTGCATCACATGTGAAGTGGTTGAAAGAGGGGGCATGCCATGCCTTTTACTCGACGAATGAGAAGTAAGGTGGGAGAGCAACAAGTACAGGCCATGTGGTAGGGATGAAGTGGGAGATCATTTTTAAGGTAAGTCGAGAGAGGATGTTAATGGTGGTTAGTAGGCCATGTGGTTATAGGGTTTGTGATGTAACTATGGTTTTTTAATAATTTTGTTTATTAATTTAAATATTCAAGTTAATTTATATATATTTTAACTAATTAATATAGCAGGGATGGAGTGGAAGATCATTTTTAAAACAAGTTGAGAGAGGATGTTCATGGTGGTTACTGGTTAGTATAGGCCATGTGGTCGCAGGGTTTATAGTGTAACTTTGATTTTTTTATAATTTTAATGGATATTTATATTAACGGGTGTATTTTAACTAATCTTATAAATTTTAAATTTAATAATTATATAAATTTTTAATAATTTTTAAAAAACTCAAACATTTAATTTTCTTATAACTTACTATACATACAATAAGAATATATAAATCTGTAGTAGTTCTTAAAAAACTAAAACATTGGATTTTTTTTAACTTACTATACATGCAATAAGACCAAGGACACTAATAATATGCTCGTTTATATATATATATATTAAAAACTAAGTTGAGAATTAAATAATAATTATATATTAAAATATTTGATTTCATGTAGAATGAAACTTTCTAAATTATTTTATTTAATTTCATGGTGATTATTATTTTTCGTAAGAAGAGCAATAACTAAAATTTTATTGAAGAAAAAATGAATTTCTAGTATAATTTCTCCTTTCCTTATTCGCTTCTAAGAAAAAAATACAGCTCTTTTTTATGAAAAATTATAAAAATAAATGTAACTTACATACATAATTTCCTAGTGACTTAAGAACTGTAACTTAGCCATAAATATAGCATGGTGTGGTGCAATGAGCTAGGGACAAATTGGTATAGACTGTTCATAAATGACGAAGTAACATACATACATATGAGCGCTCCCACAAAAACTGGAACTTGATAGGCACTTACTAGCACATCACTAGTGCCATTATCGTAGCCAGTTGCAGCAGAAGCAAAGGGAACTCCAACGGCAAAATCTGATATGTTATATGCTGGATCCAAGGAGGCCGGAACTGCTGACCTGAGTCCTCAAGCCTGAGAGATAAAATCGGTAGCTATTCGACCATTTGAGAACCTCCCGGTAAGACGAACCCCAGTAAAGTCACGACCATAGGGCTCAAAATTGCTCCTAGCAATTGTTGGAATGAAATTGCTATTTCCAGCATCAACAGAGGAGTCATTAGAAAATATAAACGAACATTTTGGATGGATTGAAAGAGTGACAGGAAAGGCATGCATCCCTCGCACCAAAACTCTTTTATCTCATGAACACACTTCTTCTTTTGCTTGACCTTTATTTTTTTTTAATAACATGATTCACTGATACACGATCACTCCAAGAGCCAAATTGTAAGGGAGAGCCCGCTAACTTGAGATCCCTAGTTTATCGCACACTTATATATGGATTGAGAAATACTAGTGATAAAATTCGAGCCATGGATGTCTCGTCTTCTAATTGACTCGTTAGCATTACCACCTTATCTACTATCTCACTTGCTTGCTTAGCTTTCCTTTGCAAGAATTCTTGGTTTTTTTAATTAGAAAAGTCAACTATTTTTTACATGGATGAGTTGAAAATGTTGTTACTTATTTTTGGATACCCTTGCAAAAAATAAAATCAAATTTTTTTTTGAAAAAAAATAATAGCAATAAAAAGAGAATACCAAAATGTAGAGCAATTAAGGACTGATTTAAGTAGTTCAGAAAGAACGAGGAATGTTCTGTAAATGTTGCTAAAATCCAGGGTCGAATTGCAATTTATCCAGGGGCTTGATTACAAAATTGTGAAACCATAGGACCAAATCAAACATTGTAAAACGAAGCCGTTTCCTGGACACCTAATTATTGCCTTCTTCCTTAGCAGCTGTTGCGGCAGTAAAGACAGTGAAGACGTTTCAGCAGCAAAAAGCACTAAATTGATTCAGTTGTGGGGCACGTTTCAGGGCTACTATCCCTTTGCATGCCGTTACCAAGCCGACTGTTAGCACCGCATGGCATTCTCTGGCCTTATAAAAGCCATAGAAACTCCACGAGTGAGTGGGGAAAAAGAAAGAAAAACACAGAGAACATGGGAGAGACAGGGAGAAGAACTGGAAAAAAAAAACAGAAAAGGGAAACAAAGGGTGAGACTGTTATACTTCGTCTTCAGTAGCAGCTCCAAAGCTCCATCTTCAGCAGTCACTGCACTAGGAACAGGACACTGCAAGAGTGAAATACAGGGACGAACTGGGAAAGAGAACAAATGAACAGAGAAAGAACTGGACAGGGAGAACACGAACATTGATACAAACACAGAAAACACAAAAAGAAAAAAAAAGAGAGAGAAGGAAGATTAGAGAAAGAACTGAACAGGGGAGTAGCATCAACCCGTGTTCTTCACCGTCGTCTTCGCCCACAAGTGCCAGCTTCACCTCCAGCTGCACCAGGTAAGCTTTGTTCTTCCCCGCTTGCAAAATAATTATCCTGTCACTTTGCCAACATATGTAAGTAATTCACGAGAATGCACGCACGGTGACCGACCTGGTCCTGGCATGGGTCAGTGACCAGACCAGGCCAGGTTTACTAGTTCTAACTAAGTTTGCACAGGCTAAGCTGGATTCAGTTAAAAATATATTAAAAAATAAAGAAAAAAATTGGGTTTCAGGCCCAACTGGCCCAATCCTCTTTATTTTATTTTAATATTTGCCGAACAAGTCTCTTTTTAATATCAAAAAATTTCAAAAAATTTATGAACCCTTTTAAATTTATTTATAGGTCCTCACTTTTTTTTTTATTTGAGGTATTTCATTGCATACATGATTTATGGATTTTTAATATGAAATGTAAATTTAATATATAATACATGCATTGATTTTATAATTATTTTATTAGTTTATTTATTGGTACTAGAGTCAATAACACTGTATTTTTTTTACAACATAATACTTATTCATGCTAGAGTTGAAAGTATTCATAGGTTAAATAATCACTAACATCATAGTCAGGAATATCACAAACTAACATAAATTAATAAACTCTTAGCAATATAAGACAAAATCAATAATACAGTTTACCTCAAGTAGGGTACATTAAAGGTGTTAATACTTTTCTTAACTACAATCAATCTCGTACCGTAGAATTTGTATTGATTAGTTAGGATTTTTAGTAACCATAATATTAGACGGTAACTCCTCAAAATATATTTAAAAGTGCGGGGTTGTGGTGACCATAATATTAGGTGGTGACTCCTCAAAATATATTTAAAAGTACGGGGTTGCGATTATTTTTTAAAATATTTTTACTCAAAAATACATCAAAATAAAATTATTTTTAATACTAGCACATCAAAATAATCTAAAAATACAAAAAAAAATTAATTTGAAGCAAATAAAAAAATTTAACTTTTTTTCAAAAACATTTTTAAAATACAAAAATAAATAGAACTTTAATGTAGATTTGGTTTTAATTTATAGTAATAAGACACAATTAAAACCAAGAAAGGAAAAAAACATAAAAGTGATTTATCTCAAATTTATGCAGAAAAGTTATCTTTTGCCCCACATATACCTTTGACTATATTTTGCATCCCTTTGGTTTTGAAATTTTATATTTTTGTACAAAAAATTATATTATTCACATTTGAATACTTAGATTTAAGAAGAAAAAAAAAAGTTATTGAAAAATAAAAGATTGAAAACTAGGAGATGAAATAAAGTTGTCGATTTTCTATCTTCCATCAATGAAAAAAATTCTTCCTTTATATAAATAAATGCTTTATTTGATTAGAAAAGTTTTATTAGTATTTTTTACTTTTAATTTTGCTAAAAAAATAAATTAAAATTTTAAATGAATAAATTTAAAGGTGTTTTAACTTGATAAATTGGTTCTAAAAATATTTATTAAGTGTTACTTAGTGAAAATAGTAAATATCCAATTTAATTTTCCAACCACCTCATTCTTAGTTGAAAATGAAACAAGTAAATTACGTGTTTTCTATTAAAAAAATAAAAAATAAATGAAATGTCATCTATCTCTTTAAACAAGCCGAAAAAAAGGCCGGGGTGGGGTGGGTTTAGGGATGCGGATCTGTCCTTGTAAAACCCACTTGCCTTTCCTTTTTTACAAGTTACGTTTACCTACCGAGACCTATAACCTCATTTTCATATTTGTTTTTTTCCCCTTGAATTTAAATTGAAATTCATTAAAATAAACTAATTAGGAATATGTTTAGGATCCCTCATCTTTACCTTTGTTTTTTCCACTTAAATTTAAATTTAAATTCATTAAAATCAACTAATTAATAAGTTTTCTCGTTATTTTCTAAGTTTCCAAAGCACTTTGCTCACCTCTTTTGCAATCTCTTGTTCTTTCCCATTCTCACTCAAATCCCAGGGATCATTCTAGTTAATTCCCTCAAATTCAATTCCCTCTTCTTCGATTATAGGAATGGTCTGCAAGAAAAGGCTTCTTCTTTGTCTTTAAAACCCCAAGGTCAAAGATCATCTCTTTCAATTTACCTCTGCCCTCCAACTTAACCTGCTCTTCGTCGTCTCCTTTTCCTATGACTGATTTACCTTCTGATGTTCTTGATGAGTCTGCGACTCCCAATGACCATGCTTTGGGTCTGTCTCTTTTCCATAGTTATGGGCACAAGGATTTAGTTCCCAGGGCTCCAGGGCTTAAAATGGATAAGCTAGAATCATTTCTTTAACTATTCTAAGCGTCCTTTCTGGGTTTGGCCCACTAAGCAACCTGAGATGAATGCTCTCTCTGCCCCTCCCTCGTACAGACCAACCCTTCATCTAAGAAAAATGGAGGAAAACGAGAGTCACAGAATGTTTTGACCTTACTTTAAAATGCACTCCCCTTTCCAATTTCCCTTTACATGGTGCTGATCTTGCTTTATAGAACACGATAAATATCGCATCCACGCTTTAAGAGGTCATGTGGGTATCATCATGGAATATATTATTTCCCTCACTGCCTGCTTTCTTGTAGGTATTGATTTGTGCAATTCTAAGGCTGCAACCACTGATGATTCCTAGTGCAAATCCAAGCCACCAAAGGTGGTGGTCAGAGTTAACCCCCATGCCACTTAAGCTGGTTTTTTTATGGCTTCTACAATTATAGAACCTTCAATGGCTTTATAAATATGCAGTCTGCTGTAGGGTACCGCTGTTAATTTCTGATATCTTTTATATTTTATATTTGTGTTAAAAAATATCTCAATATTAAAATATAATTTATATTATTTTTTAATATATTTTGATTACTATTTATATCTCGGCTCATGATTCATTTGCCATTATTGATTTATTTGAACCAGTTGCTTCGGCCCCTTTACTCCTTGCTTATGCCACCCGTCGTATTTATAAAGCGTTGACTCACAGCTGACACCAGAATTCTCCAATCCTCCATGGCTGGGGCACAGCATTTTTCAAGGTCAATGCGCGTTGGTGCACGAAAAAAATAAAGAAACTGTCATGATTGCTCCCAGAAGTGGATACGCAACCCTAATCCTGGCAATAGCTTTGCAAACTTTTTCTCCACTCTTGTAATGGGTGGGTTTGCAATCCTCCCCTCGCCATGGGTCGGCGACCCTACCTTGACTTCCTGATGGAGGCTTAGAGGATGAATAAATTATCAAGGGTCATCAAAGTGTGAGGTGAGTATTATGATCTGATTTTAACCGGATAAAAACATAGACTTTGGGGTGCTTGCTTACTCGAAAAGTACTCTTTTACTTTTTAAATTTTTCTATTTTTATTTATTATTAAAAAATTGATGGATAAAAAATATTTTTTAATAAAAAAATCTAATTTGATTTCTAGAAAAGTGTTTTATTTCTATTTTAAATAGAAAACACTTTATAGAAG